CTCGAGCTTAATATCACCGCGCGAGGTGTGCAGCTGTGAGACTGTTAGCGGGCCATGACCGAGACTAGGCGGCCCGTGTCACTGGTATAGCATAGCGCGTGTGCAGTGAGAAGTAAGACGCTGCTGGACTGGGAAACCGATGCTCGGGCGCAGTGGCATCGGAGGATTGAGAGAGCTGTCGGGTGGGGAGGTTTGCGGCGAGTGCACCACAGGCACGGATGTGCGATGTAGAATCCCATGCGAAGACAGAGACGACTTACTGTTACAGACATGGTGTCGGTCGGGCGTGTCGCGCATCCTCGGGCGAGCCGGCACAGTGGTGATGCGGGCGGTGGCTTTGCGCGCCGCAGAGTGAGGTCAGTTCTGTGTTCTGTGTTCTGTGTTCTGTGTTCAGCTTCACGGCGCCAACCAAGCAGCGGCCACCAAGGCCAGACCACGCCAGCGACCATCATCGCATCTCCGCGACCTCGCCAGGCCCACCGCCGCCCGCCGTTCGGTCAAGACACACGTCCACAGCTCGCTGCTCGTCCGCCGTTGCCGCACGCACATTATCCATAGCCCCAGCCCCAGCCCGCTGCCCAGCCCAGCCCCAGCTCGCCCCCATTATTGCCCGCCCCAGCTCTCGGCCTATCACGACTCCAGCTTCCGCGCCGCCTGCAGCGCTGGCAGCCCTATACCCTCCGGACTGCAACGACCGCAACACCTGCGAGCTGCCGTCCACGCCGTCGCTCTCCAATCTCCCTCGTCCCGCCTGCTCTCTCGACTGCCTGTCTGTGCGACCGGCCCGCAGCCGCGCATCGATACCCCGCCCGTTCGAGCCTCTGTGCCTACACTTGCATCTCAACCCCACCGTCCCGCCGCCGGAAGGCTACGCAGCGCCGTACACTGTCGCAAGCTGCCAGGCGCACCAAGCTACAGCACCCGGAGCGCACTTTCGGCAGGCCTGGCATAAGGGGAGGCCGAACTGTCGCCCATGCGGCGCACTGTGTCGTCACAGGCTGGCGCCATCGACTTCGTCACAGTGAGCTACTATGGCGGCCTTTGTGCGCGTCTCAGGACCGCCAAATAGCAACTTCCTGGTGGGATATCCGGGCATATCTGCGACATTGGTATGTCTCTCGCCCTCTGGCCTCTATCCGGGGTCTGGCAAGCTCTCGCGCAGTCGTGTACACCTGTACGACGTTGATGTGCAGGGCCGCTTTCCACATTTGATATAGTCCAGATATGCTAACGATCCCACAGCCTAGGATAGAAGGAAAGGTCGAGATCCGGCCATCCATAGGAATATCGGCGCCCGTCAATGTGTCCCTTGTTACCATCTCCCTCCAGCGCCGCGAGACGATCCACCCCTCGGCCGAGTCGCTCACCAAGAAGCACCTGGCTGCACCGCGCAAGGAAATTACCGACATCGTTGGCAAGGAGATGCTACTCTTCAGGTGTCAGCCTGGAAAGGAGTCCGAGAGCATTCTGTCCATGGACCTGCCTTTCGTTATTTTCATACCATATGGCCGTGGCGGAGAGGAGGTCGCGAGGAGAGTGCCGCCCGCCAGCTTACAGCTTCCAAGTCGAACCGCTGAAACATTTTATGAGCTGGTTGTAATGGTCCAGCAAGGACACGTCGACCAGAAGAAGTACGCATTTCCAGTACCAATATTACGATACGATACCCTTTCCACGTTCGGCATGTATAACCGGCAGGAGAGCGCTGAACGAGTTACCGATCATCTGGTCACTCTGGGGATAAGTCTGCCACGGTGGAGTTACGGGCCACTAGATCCGGTCTCTGTCTACATCAAGTTGAGCCCTAACCCCGACTGGCTGAATAAAGCGAAAAAGATCACCATCCAGAAGATCACAGTCGGTATAGACGAGGAGATCATATTCAACCACCAGGGAGACGAGCCGACAAGGAAGATAAAGTCAATAGCCAGGACGACGCAGACTGTTGGCGTCAAGATGCCAGAGGCAGGCTATTTCACCAATCTTGGACTAGTATTTCCGGCAAAAGATTTACGCGATTCCGAGGGCATAATACCGAGGGGAAAGAAGGAGTTTCCCATGTATGCTTTGAACGGCTTTACAACGACAGGCACACTGTACAAGATTGAGTACTACTTGACTGTAAAGGTACGTGACGTGTGATCGTCGGCTGTATCTTTACTAACAGGAACGCAGGCCCAGATGAGTTCAGCCAAGGACATTCTCCTCCGTCAGCCGATCGTCGTCTGTCCTTTCGATCACGCCGGTTGCAAAGAAGAAATGGAAGCCATCGAGCAAGCCGCCAAAGACGCCGCCCACGTCAGCCCCGAAAATCCCATGTTACCTGCTAGCACCATCGTCCGCGCGAACGAAATCAACGGTCTAAGAGCGCTGGGTATAGCCATAGTAGGGGGTGTTCGAAAGCCTCTTATTGAGTGAGACTCCATGAATGGGGCTCGAAGTTATTTTGATGCAAGCGCTCGGACGCTACAATCTGTTACAATCTGGTCGGGGGCTTTGCATGCGATTGGAACGCATGGTATAAGAGTTATCTGGATAGGGTCGTGTCGGATGATCTATCGTTTGAAGAGAAGCGTGCAAAGAGCCACGGCATATCACGAGACATTGCAATCGCATTGGTTGGGTTCGGTATCAAATACCAGGCGTTTAGGGCGCTCGACGCAAAACCACAGCAAACGGACACGCGTATACTACATCTGGATATTACAGCGCCGGAGCCTGGCGCGTACGGCACGACCAGGATTGAACTTTTTCGTTTTTCGCTAACCGCCGTTGTGCGGACGGCGTCTAGGGCGGCTGGCTGGTTCTTGCTGTCTTGCATTGCTCTGGCGTTTTTGAGCCAGGGGTTATGATGGATGGCCTTTTACGATCCGTTCTTTTGATGGTTCTAATGTTGGGTTTAGTAGGGTGGGGGTGGGGGTGAGGACGAGATGTGTGTGCATAGTGTTTGCAGAGGTAGCCCAAAAGCTGGGCTTGGTTACATGTGAAGGGGTGATGATGGGGAGTGGGTGCGGATGAGGTAGCGACAACAGCAGCGGCCGCGCAGCGAATACCACACGATATTGATCTTACTGTGCGGTTTTGGACCACGCGCAATCTACTTAACAAGTTCTGCATCACCGCCCTGTCATAATTCATTTCCGATGCGCACACTTTAGCAAGCCTACCCTCTCACGTCTACGCTATACACAGACAATACCCAATATACTAGATACAATAGGGCTTTGTAAAGATAGAAGTAGACTATCTACATATTACTGAAAACTCCTAGGCTGTCAAAAGGATCGCGAAGTGTTCTGTAATATCGGCAATGCATTCTGCCAGGGAGGTGGCATCGCCACGTCTGCCAATTTTGATGAGATAGACATTGGCCAATGTTCGTAAGACTGCCGGAATACTCTACAGGATACTCCTGGCGCAAGTCACCTTCCCATGTTCTCATCGCTACATGCGATAGTCATTTCCGCTACATTGTGTCGGGTGCAAACCACCGTCTCTACACTCCCAAAGTACCACCTACCCCCATACAACCTATGCACAGCAGCTGAATATCGCTCAAGCTCCCCTCGTGCGAAACGCCAGATTCATGATCCTTCTTCCCCCACTAACCTCCGCCTCCTCTACACGACTGGCATCCTGATGATGACTTGGCTTCGGTGTGGACGCTGCCTTCTTCTTCGCCATGTGCTCGTCGATCATGGAGCTTATGGTGAAGTATTGTGGGCTGGTGGGGCCGAAGGTGTGGCTGGCGTTGCGGAGGGACGATTGGAGCTAGTGGGTGGTTAGTAGGAGAAAGAGAGAAGAGCAGAAAAATTGAGGAGGAAGGCGGAAAAAGTCGAAGTGGTGAGACAAGGGGCAGCAGTGCAACAAAGCTAAGCACATGGGAGCTCGTATCCTGCAGTACGGAAATTCTCAGTGGAACACGAATACTCCATCAACGCGCATTTGCATTGCATACATTACGCATCAAATAGTCGCAGGGCGATGCGCGTGAAGATAGAGAAAAGACGAAGTAGAGACAAGAATTGTAAAGAGTGGAAAGAGAGTATGTGCATTGGGAAAGCGGAACGCGAGATGAAAGAGCTCACACTTACTGAGAGAAGGAGGTCGTCCTGTTCGCTTGCCATTGCGGGCGCCGGAATCGAAGCACCAGGTGAGAGGGTGTGGAATTTGCTTATGTGTAGACGAGTTTGAGAACTTCGAATGGAGAGTGGTGAGTTCAGGTTGACGAGCGCCGTTCGTGATACCGTATGCGCGAAGATTTGTTGTTGTTCTGAGCTCTGGTGTGGGTGAGTTATGTAGGAAAGGTGTATGCAGCCCTAGAAGGTAAAGTGATTGAGTAAATAATTAATTGTTCGGAAAATTAGCAATGAAGAATCATACCTTTGCTGAAAATCGAAGCGCAAAGTAAAGTAATGTTTCCCTGCACGTAGGTACTCGGAGGTGTCACTAGTCCCGCGTCTAAGCTCTCACTCGGATCCCCCCACCTCGCCTATTCACTCACCCACGCACATGCGCCCAAAAAGACCACTCTATCCTAACAACACGGTAACGAAAGGATGATTAGCTGCTTTGAATTATGTGTAATTGGCTGGATACCCTCTTACGGAAATGGAATCTCCGGAACTAAAGAGATAAACCTGCGCGCCTCTAAAAGGATTCTCTAACGCAGCAATGTAACTATAGAAAGCTACAATTCTATACACAGCTAAGTAGGTAGGGTTAGTTCCAGAGATCCCGTTTCCGCAAGAGATACCGTAGGTGTAAAGATACTGGCTCACTCACAACAGTGGGTAAATGTAGATCTAGCAGTGTAATTCAAGTACTTCTGTACATAGCTAGGGGTCTTAAATGTAGTTCTCTCTCAATATAAACTCAGCAGAGATGTCTGGGTAGCAAAGAATCGGTCCACACGCGCAAAAACCGTTCCACACACGCAAAAACCGTTCCACACACGCAAAAACCGTTCCACACACGCAAAAACCAAAAAAAGATTGCACTGACATCGGTGGGATTCGAACCCACGCCATTTCTGACTGCGGAGGATGCTCAAGAGTACCTAAACGCAGCGCCATAACCACTCGGCCACGATGCCCCCAAGAGATTGATTTATGATGTTTCTGGGTTGATAAAATATCTATACAGCTGTAAAATGGCGGGATGAGCGCTGAGGGCGCCCCACAGGCTCCACAGAGCGCTAATAAGTACCAAGGGAACGGCAGGAAGCGGGGAACTTAGTACGGGACACAAGAGCGGCATTGTACGTCAGCATTTCCGGTCTATGGACATTATCTTCAGTGCCTTTACATATGCGTAAATCATATCCAAATCGCACCATTCTTCACAGTTTAAGAGTACAGTATGAGTATATTGCGTAGCTCCGATGGCATTTCCTTGTCTTGGACCCCTCATATGAATAGTCAAATATTCTGACGCCTCGAGCTGTGCAAAGCCGCTTGCCATCAAAACCCGCGAATCGTCAAAAAGCTCGACATCAGGCACTGAATCCAACCCTGAGAAATTACAGCCAGAGATATGCACACGTAAATTAATACTATTGTGCGTCCTCGGATTCCCGTAGCCTCGACGTTGCGGTGCGTGCCCGATAAGCGAGCCACGTTCCGCGCTAGCCACGCGAGATCTAGCGGCCCCGTGCGTTCCGATCGAGATCTCCACGTTCGTCCCATCACAACTGCCTGAATAAATTTTATTCAACAACACATACTATAAATGATTCCAGTCAATAGGGAACCATGACCACACTCTGTGATGTTTGCATTTGGAAGCAGTAGAGAATGGTGGTGAACTGAGGGCGGCGGCCGCCGGGTTCTGCCGTGCCGAGCTTATCGATAAGCAGTAGCGCTTTCCTCACATCGTCAGTTCAGACTTCACGGCTCTTGTTACCGTACCCCAAGCGCCCACCGGCACTCGCGTAGTCATATACTCGGAGGTCACCACAGCATGAAGGACAAAAGCACGATCGACTGCAGCGCCACCTACACGGCGATAGACCGAACTTAGATGGCTAGTCATGAGCTGCGTGCAGGACACAGCATCTCCAAACTGCCTCGCGCGCACCCCGACGCGCATCTCGCCGATTTCTCTCACATGGCGTAAACCCAGGTGCGTCTGTCGCTGATTACTATCAGTGCTTACTAGCTGACTTGCAAGATGAGTTCTCTCGAGGTCGCGATTTCTTCCACCGCACAGATGCGGACACACACTCTGCTAGATCTGCCAAGGACAGGACCAGTCGTGTCAGTGGCTGAGACGCATTTTCCTTACACACCAGACAACCGATTAACGATGACGATATGAACCAGCTGCTTGGTCTTTATCGTCTCCTCGTCTGAGATGATCCCAGCTCCTCCTCGTCCTAGAATTCCGACAATCATGGCAGCGCTCACCCGTGGCCAAAAGACACGGGCGAGGTTGACCGGATTGAGCAGGTGAATCCGAAGACATCACCCCCGAAGACGCCAAAGCCGGGAACATAACATGCACCAATGTTTCAGACTACGAAGATGAACAAGTCACCAAATCTAGCAAGAAGGTTGTGCATCGTACTGCTCTGGTTGACTCCCTAGCTGTAGCTACCTCGGACATAAGAAAACGACACGCGCAGCTGTCTGGCGCTGAAGCATGCTTTGGACTGCCAACATCAATACCAGTATGACGTGCTCTGGTAGAACGGTTAGGACGTTACCCGGCGTGGCGGCTACGAGTGGACTTCGTAGAGGTAAAGGTAAGCCCTGTAGATGTTGCTGGAATTCCTTATACTGTCAGGAGGATCGTGCGCGAAGTCCGTTACGGCCGTATCAGTTGCCGCCGAGAACCAACCCAAAAAGATCTGCATGGCGGCCTGCTGCATTGGGTTATCTGTTCACATTTTATGTCCGGGCGATATATCGACAGCTGTATAGCGCCGACCGCCACACAGCAGGGAGTATGCAGATATAGTGCCACCCCAAATCCACTTTTCCGGAACACGCAGACCGGTCAATAGGATCTGACGATGAGGCTCTTTGACGGTTGCGCAATCACCAACATAAGCAGTAGATATCATCGCGTTAGGAGACATAGACGCAATACCTAAAAGGTTAGTATGTGCATAGTGGAATCTTGCTACTGCATTAGCTTTCATGAATTCGAAGGGAAAGAGCGTTGATGTCGATAGTGCGATGTATTCTCGGCATACGGGTTGTCATCTCTTGGACAGGAGTGAAGTTAACTGAGGTAGTTACCCGTCGCCTCTGCGATGTTGTTTGCTCGTTGGTTGACCGCCACTGTCGTGGAACTTTACGTTCATTGCTCTTATGTTCAGGGCACAGCTCTCCTACACCGCGTTCAGTTGCGACCAGGACGCAGCTCAAAGTGTCGTAGGAAAGCTGCGCCCTGGATGGAGCTTTCTTGTGCAGCACTTCGTGCATTTCGAATGACGCCCGCGCTCTGCCCTGTCCAGCAATGCCAACCAAGTCGATGCCGTACGAGGAAGCTGTTCCAGAGCAGCGCGCTTCCCCCGACTCGCGGTGCGGCCACGTCAGGCAATTATCGTAGCTGCCCATGCTAAAACTTCTTCAGTCAAACACCTACGACAGCAGACTCTCTCGTTCTTATATTCAGATGCCTGTTGGATAGCTTCTGTAGCTGCTAGTATGGCCAAACTCACCTTTGGCATGCGTCGCAGCCAGCAATACCGAAACAAGCGCCTGGCATCCGCATCGTCTGGCGATTCACATCCTGAGAAGAAGAAGAAGACTAATGCTGAGCCTGCGGTTAGAACGAATAGGTTGGTTAGGAAGCCTAGGTCGACTGCGAAGCAAACGCATGCAAAGAGTGTTCCTGCTGCCTCGTCAAACAACTACGCTCCCTCGTCGAGCAGTCCCGCTGCCTCGTTGAACAGTCCAGTTGCCTCGTTGAACAAGCACGCTGCATCGTCGAACAAGCACGCTGCCTCGTCAAGCAACTACGCTCCCTCGTTCAACAATCAGGCTGCCTCGTCGAACAGGCACGCTGCCTCGTCAAGCAACTACGCTGTTGGGACGAAGGATTCGCCTATCTGTCTAGATAATACGGAAGAGTCTGAAGAGTTTGGAGAGTTTGGAGAGTCTGGAGAGTCTGACAGCCAATTAGGGGACGATGTGGGTGTTGCTTCTCTGGACGACAAGGACGATGAAGACTGTTCTAGCTATGTGTCCTCTGCTCGAGACGAGAAGGATGATGGAGATGTCAATGATGATGAAGACGACGAATATGTCGAAGATAATAGGCAGGATGAGCATAACGAGGATGATAAGGACGTTGAGGAGGTTGAGCAGGATAGTGAGCAGGAAGGTGAAGAGTCAGGCAGGGCCGTCACGAAGCGCGTCAAGTCTCGCCGGTGTGTTTACGATCCAGCGCGCCGCCTTCCCGAAATGGTGCAGCCAGTGCATACGTCGGCTATAATGCCCTTTGCCTACAAAGTCCATTGGCCTTGTCCGTCATCCAGGTGCTCGAGGCGATTCGACACGAAACTGTTGTTGTTAGGTCACTTCACCAAGGCTCATGGCGTGAAAGCAGCATCATCGGTTTAAGACGATCCGCTTGAGGATGGGTCATACAAAGTGCCTTGTCGATACTCGGTGGAAGCAGGGGGTCATCTACGCTATCAAACTTATGATGAGACAGTGGACAGCTGTCGTCACCGAGAGTTGCCGAAGAACAAGAATGTCGCTATTCCGTGTCAGTGGCTCCCTTACATTGGCTGTACCGCCGTCAATTAAACCGATCGGCAAATCGCGAACCACAACAGAACTCATTCTCGTGATGACCGGAGTCCGTATCGCTGCCATCTTGGCTGTGGTCTCTATTTTGCGTTGCTTCACACGCTCGCCCAGCATGCGCGCAACTGTGATCGGCAAGGGTACGTTGAACGACCGATCACGTTTCGATTCAACCTTAAAGTCACTGCGCCCACTATTGTTGTAGTAGCGAGAGGATCAGGAGAGCCACCAGCATCGTGGGAAGGTGGTTTAGGACCAAGCACAACCCTTGACGATGGCCTTCCAATCTTCGGGGGCAAGATCAGCACTACCACGCAGTCTATGGCACGACTGGACGTAGTGCAGGGTTGCATTCTTGTTACACTGCACTGACAGAATTAATTCCCCACGGGTCACAATATTCCCGGAACCCAGAGGAGCTCGCTACAGGGGTAGGGTATGCCCGAACCGATATGACGGAGTCCCCTCTTTCTGTCGCCTCGAATTGGACAACACCTTGTGTGCCAGATACGACGGGGCTTTGCAATGGAAATACCACCCTTCTTGTACAGACCCGGAATCCCTTGACCTGTTCGGAGCATTAAGACAGGGCAGACAGACCTCTCGGTCGCAACGAAGTCCTGCGTGCGGTGAGTGGTTACCGCGCGGTTGCGGTCGCCTACGATGCCTCCTACGCGCCTTCCTCCCATATGCCGTGCCGCCCACGTGAGCGCTTGCCATCGCCCCCACGCGTATCGGACAATTCTCCGGTGTGGGGAAAAAGCTTGATCGGACGGCTCATCGTGAGGAGTGAGGTAGGTCGGTGGTGAAGTTGAAGATTGGGTTCGCGCGAGGAAATCGGAACATTCTGCGCAGCTGTGCGACACTAGCATCACCGCTGGCATTAATTAGATATTGAATCCTAACTTCTTGCGTATACTTGCCTGCGTTCATGTGCTTATGCTGGTAAAAGACCTGTGCGTCAGTGCGTCATATCTGCCCACCCAAAGTCGCAGCGAGAAAATGTTGTGAGCGAAGGGCGTTTCTGTTGCGCCGTGTCGTCATAGTCTGCGAGATCGGGCTGTGGAGGCCGATGCCGCCCACTGAATCCTAGGTGAAGGCAGCGCTATACCGCTTTCGGGGGGCAGGCAACGCCTCTCGTGACCGCTTAACTTTTGCTGACTGTGCTAGCGCGAGGCCTGCCCCGAGGATATTTAAGCCCGCTCTCCCTCCGCCTCTCTTCTACTCCTCAGCTCTCTTTGCCTTTTGGCTTAGATCAAGTGTAGTATCTGTTCTTTTCAGTTTGTAAGTACTCTCCTCCTCTGCTTGTTCCTTTCCGTTGCTAACCCCGCCT